CAAGCTACATAGAGCTTGGCACTCATTAAACCAGCCGTTACTTCTTCAGAGTACAAAATAATATGACTTGAAAGCTCTTGAAATTAAACTTTTAACCAGTGTTTTTCGTCTGTTTCATCAGTTTCTGGATAACTGTGGAGCCTCATTGGATCGTCAATGATTTACATAGCTCTGTGGTGGCATTGAACCCTAACTACACAATCCTGAAAGCTGAGCAAGAGGCAATTGGGGAAATAAATATTCAACATTCAACGTGAAGAAAAATCCGGCTATGAGGAAGGCGGTGAAAATGAATTGAATTAATTGGAGTTGATCGAATGGCACGGCTTGGCCTTTCAGGTGTGGTCCTTGTTGAATGGCATATTTTAGATGTTGAGTGGCGGTAGTCAACAGGAAACCCTGGACCCGGGTTTCGTGCTATTTGGCACTCGTCAGCAAGGTGTACCTGTAATCTTGAGAGAACTGTTGCTCCCTGGCGGATTCGATCTCATGTCACCCAGCTTCACAGTCAGAGACGTTACCACTGAGCTATCCGAGCCGTGACTAACCTACTGTAGGACTGAGATGTAATCACATTTGATTGATCACTGGGTGGTGATCAATGTCATGCTTGTCTAGTCCTTATTGGTGCAGATCGAATGCTATCGATCGTGTTGCAATGTGGCCACCAGTCTAGGTGACTCGACACTGCGGGCACTATGTATTGAGATTTTAGATGGTGGTTGGAAGTAGTCAACAGGACACGAGATCGAATCCGCCAGGGAGCACCAGTTCTCTCAAGATTAGAGGTACACCTTGCTGACGAGTGCCAAATAGCACGAAACCCTGGTCCAGGGTTTCCTGTTGACTACCTCTAACCACCATCTAAATCTCAACACATAGTGCCCGCAGTGTCGAGTCACCTAGACTGGTGGCCACATTGCAACACGATCGATAGCATTCGATCTGCACCAATAAGGACTAGACAAGCATGACATTGATCACCACCCAGTGATCAATCAATTGTGAATGGCATATTTTATTTTTTATTCATATTAAATATATTGTCTTATCTCTAGCCTGAGCTTGTTCTACATCGTGTATTGGTGATTGTTACGATATGATGAGTTGGTGTAGACGATGGTATGTTTTCTACGTAAGATTTTATATATTAGGCAGTTATGTCATGACAAGTCTATAATTTTAGGATTAGGTCTATTATTAGAGCAGTACTAATATCTTAGTAGACCATTATTCTACAGCTATTCATATATCGCCACTATGGAATATTAAGACGTTGAAGAAGCATTGGTACTCAAACATCGAGAAGAACTTCATTCATTATTTAACACATAGGGAAGCTCAGTAATAGCAAACTTCGTAGCACAGAAACAGAGTGACATGAATCGGTCACTATATGCAACATTTTCCTTTCCATACTGACTATATTACTCCAACCCTAATTCCGAATGCGCTCTTTTGAAGTGTTAAAATGCTGATCAGTAACTATGAATATGGAGTGGGTGAATGTGCACAATGATGTGACTTTCGCAAAACGTCTGGTAGATTAGAAATTTATGTCGTAATAAATCTGCTATGTTGGAATTGGACCGTTATTCTAGCGAAAACAATGTACCTAATACCCACTGAAACCATAATCTCACATTGGTAAGGCCAGATAAGTAACGCGTTATTAAAGTTATCGATCGATTTTAACATATGTTAACCCGTTAGTCCATTATTCCGTTGATTAATGCCTACATCTATTGTCTAAATGAAGTGTTGATTTTATTCTCACTCAAAAAACTGTCTCGATTGATCAAATTAACAAAACAAACAAGATCATTGTCAGATACCATGGTTTTTTTAACGAGTATAAGCACTATTTAAGTGCTCCTGTGTCACAAATCTGCCAAAATATAAACAATGAGGTAATCCAAACGTACGTATGCTTGTGAAATATACACTTAATATAAGTCAGACTCGATCGATTGTCGACCATAATTTAAACTTTCGGTTTCTCCATGAGCAATGTTCCACCACAAACTATCCAAAACTAAATTATTGTGTAGGATAACTGGCCCCCTATAATCACCACTACATTACTGCGCGAGTGACCCGTGCGTTTCATAATTACATCAAATAATTCTGTACTGTATTTATGAAATCTCATAGATACTTCCACACAGACTGGTCTTATATTATGCCACTCCCGTCAAGCTGTACTTGCATTTATGTTTATGCCCTGCTAAGCGCTGAACTACGGAAAAATATGTTTCTCTCTCGCGGACCCACTCACGTTCAGTGAATTACTATCGACTGTCCGAAATTCATATAGCACACTGTTTTCTAATAGTAAAAGTACTTCTGATAACATTTTACATGTATTGGTAAGATTACCGAATTGTATCACTTCTATAATTGCCCAGAAAATAGAACAAGGAAACCGTTTTTGAGGTAGTTTATGAGGACAAACTGTGTTAATATTGACTATACACTGACCGACATAAAGCGATTTATATACATAGGCTAATTCAAGACAGCTAAGTGTATATATTGCAGCAAAGACCTGGTGGGTCACATTTTCGACATATTTTCAAGTACTAACCCGTATATTATTTTATTTCTGTCACTTACTGTGACTGGAAATACCTGAAATGACGTTGTGAACTATATTCCACCTGATTGCCCAGTATTCATCATTTGATAGATTTTCTTAGACAACAATGTTCAAAATAATGTACTAAACTTAACATTTAGTATGCTTCTTGTGGAATAATACTAAATAACCTGTATGCACAAGAAACATCTGAAACGATATGCTCAACGTAAGAAAAAATCTTTCGTCGAAGGAAACCTTCATTTTTTTGAAGCCATAGTGAGCCCGTTGGTGTGACATAATCGTATCAGTGCAAATTTCTGTTTGGTGATTCTCTGTTAGTAAAATTGGAAGGATGACAACATATGTAGTTTCAACACTTCTTAAAACATGATGGTAAGATGGCCCATTTACAGTGTTTTTAATGTTCCTGAAGATTAAATACTCGTCAAAATATGTTATACGTGGGTTTATAGAGAGAGACTGCAAAGTGTTTTAGGGCTACCTTTCACTGCTCAATTACCCAAGAACTGGAATATTTAGACTTGAAGAACTATGGTCTACTATGATATTAGCACTGCTCTAATAATAGACCTAATCCTAAAATTATAGACTTGTCGTGATATTGCTCCCTTATATATAAGATCTTACATAGAAATCATACCATCGTCTACACCAACTCATCATATCGTAACAATCATCAATACATGATGTAGAACAACCTTAGGCTAGAGATAGGACAATATGTTTAATATGGTTAAAAGATGTAAGATAACAAGGACCACGCCTGCTTGGCCGAACCATGCCATTTGATCAACTCCAACTCATCTAATTCCTTGTTCGCGCCTTCTCAATCGTTAGGTATTTCTCCGCGTTAAATATTGAATACCTATTTTCCGAGCAATCTCGTGTTCAGCTTTGAATATTGTGTGGTTATTGTCCAATGCCACTACAGACTGCAATGTACGCTGATTCAGAGTAAACAGAGTATAACCTTAAAGTAAGGTCATATGGAGCAGGCAGTTACACTAAGCTGGTTTATTGATAGCATAAGTTTATTAACAGCGATTATAGTCGTTAGCCTAGCAAAAATTTTCCAAGGCAGTAAACGTTGCGTATTTTCATGCTTTTCCCAAAAATTCAACTTAATTTGTGATGACTCTTGTTTCCAAATTTATGTTGAATAATCCTAGATACTACAATGGGAATGGATCGATCGGTTTCCGGGCAAAGACTTAAAACACTATCATTGACTAATCGTAGGATAATGCATAATATTACACCCACAGGCACCTACTTACGTGAGTTACTATATGTTTCTTAAGAAACTTAAAATAAAACTACGGCTCGGTCGATAAACAATAAAAAACGTCTGCCTTCTTCTTCTGGACAGAAATGACAATCCCTGAAGGGAAGTGAGAGGTGAGAAAACCATTAGAACGTTTCATGGGAAAAAATTTATCCAGGTCATATTTTTAATCTAAGTCTTCTTTATTTAGGTCATTTCGACAAACTTTATACATTATTCTACGAAGCGGCACACTTCAGCACATTGTGACAAGTAGAAGTAGTAAAATTGGTTAAACAGACTAGTAATTTCTAGAAATGTCTATCACGCACCATGGCAATGATGAACGAACAAATATGTAAATGAGATAAGCAACAAGAAGCATACGTAACGATATGTTGTTTCTGTAATTCTTACTAGTCTAGTAACGTACACAGAGCATTAAACATCGCATGAACTCATGGCACATATCTATCAAAGAGAGTAGATTCAGGTGGGGTCTGGACCCATCGCACCTGGATGCAATATCCTATATAACATTCTACTACCGTACATATAGTGAGTGGATTGCTGCGGAAAAAACTTTAATGATGAATTGTCACCATTTCCGGGACTCTATAACGAAAGATCTAATGGCTTAATTGTTAACTTCCACGGTCTTCTTGCTATGAACTATCTCTTCATTTTCTCAAACCATTATCATTGTGAAAACCACTGTTGTAACACATCGATAGCCTATGAAAAATTGCTAAATCTCACCAGTGGTGCTTACGCTCATGATTCTAGATTACCATCTACGGGAATGTTTAATAACATACAGAATAACTGGATTCAGAAACCTACTCCCACTTGAGAGATTAACTCGGGTGAATATAAAATAAAGAACTGACCATAATACGCAAAACATGATATATGTATTCATTTTACAACACAGTGAGTCGGATAAACAATACTATTTGTGGACCGCTTTTAACCATAATGCTGCTAGGTATCGATTTTTTGGAACAAGCGAGTAAATATAGAAGCCATGAGTGATTACATTCAAAAAATTTCTGAAGACGATTAATTTATTTCTTGAAATGGAAAGTCAATGGCCTGCTTTTATGTTCTAACTGGACTTTTTTGTTTTTCTTTACAGTCGTCATGACAGTTTAATGCACGGTTTTAAATCCTGGCTTGTATTGTTTATGATTGTTACAGATTGTTACTTTTATTAAATTTAAGTGAACTGTGTCATAAAACACTCCCTTCTTTCGTTCTTACGTCTTCAAGCTCTCACATCTCATGTCACTTTATATTCTACCCTAGTGCATAAAGTATTTTTGGCCAGATACAAACAAGGACAACTCATAGTTCTTGAAATTACAATGGCGGCAGTGGCCAGCCTTAAACATATTTTCGGCTACCGAACCGGAATTTCCGGATCTGTAGTGTGTCTTGATGATCAGACCATTGTCTATCCATGTGGATCTAATTTAGTCCTATACAACCTCGAGCAAAAAACACAAAAATTTATTGCGGGTTTGGAAAAGTCTGAAGGAATGACAGCTCTCGCTATCAGTCCAAACAGAAGGTACATTGCTGTTTCTGAGAAAACGCTGGATAAGCCTGTCATAACCATATACGATGTACATGCTCTACGCAAGAAAAAAACATTGCACACTCCTGACACTCACTCCAATGAATTCATTAGTATAGCTTTTTCTCCGGATTCAAAATATCTTGCAGTACAGAGTGGGAGTCCTGATTGGACTTTAACATACTGGTCCTGGGAGAAACCAAAACAACTAGCTAGTGTGAAGACGTCTACATCTAACCCAATCAAACAAGTTAGGTTAACATATTTAAATCATTTAGCTAATTAGATCTCTTTCAGTCCTCAAGATTGTACACTGATATGTGTTGTTGGCACTGATATCTTCCGCTTGTATCGCTATGGGGAAAACAGTCTCAAAACATATGGCATAAATAAGGTTGAACCTCGAAACTTCCTTTGTCATACTTGGATCGATGGTGAGAAAATTGCCGCTGGAACTGATGACGGACGATGGATATTGGTGGAAAATGGGGAGTCAAAATCGGAATACGACATCTCTGCTATAAATGAGAAAAGTGGGGCATATCAGGAAAGGTATATATTAATTGTTTCTATATTTCTGATGTCTACGTTAAAATATTTTTTAGGGTTTATTACAAACAGAGCTTTGAGCATCACCTATATTAAAATTTTATCTGCACTTTTAGTTGTCTGATATTCTGAGGTTTAATTACTGAATGCTTTTGCACTGTGGGCACATCAACCTATATTTTCACTACTTTACCGGTATTTCTATTGATTTGACTTGATGTTGTTTAAGTTGAACGACTGATAATTTTTCCAGTTCAAGACAACAACGGACTCACAAAAATTGCACCATACGTAATAAATCTAAGCTTTCAAATATTTCACCTTTGTTCATACTCTACCCCATAAACGTTATACTTTATGAATTTGGGATGCGTGGTGATAAACAGGCACGTAAGCTGTCTAAAGCAAATTCATCACATAATTTATAGCAAACCAGAAGTGATTTTGTTTAGCGACTGAAAAGTTCTGTGAAATACGACTATATAACAACCACTATTAAATGTTCGCAATGTTTTTATGTTTTACATCGATATTTTAGTTGGAACAAACTTAAAATAGGTTCTCAATTGCTTTTTATTATGAGTAACCGCAAATAATTTCCAAAGGTACTGACGAACGACGGTATAAAAAAACTATGTGGAAGAATCGTAATAGAGGTGTTCAGACTTATTTTTTTTAGGAATCTCAACTAAATTCCATACCGCCAACCTTCTGATGAACTAGTCTCAGTACTACTTCATCTATTTCCTGTGAAATATCAGCCATTAAAACACACTTTCAATATGGGAATTAAATAGCCCACAGGTCAATAATTTTGTGGATTGAAAGCAAATATGAGATTATTTATTTTGGAAATTAATTAATATTGATGTAAATAAGACAATAACTAGGAAACAAATATGTAGACAATAATGTGGTAGAAGTATGTGATTACAATTGTTTGAACATGATAAAGGCGATTTTACAGTGATCATCGCCAACTTAATGTTTCATAATGCAATCATGCACTCATTTGCGGCCAAACAACGTTTAAAAACTTGGCTGTATAATGACTTTAGTCAGTACTATTTTGAAAGAAAGATCGACACAATGTCACCAACAGATTTATAAATCCAGACCTCATCATTCTTGATTAACCCAGGTTTTTCCGTAGCAAAAACGATTCAACCTTTATCGTCAACTTGAAGTGTGTTACAAGGCTCTGGATACTCGTTGTAGTAAATGAAGTACTGAAACTACAATCCTGTCACATAAAAGTGGTTGAAATAGACTGGTACTCTATAGGTTAACATCTTGAAATTTTAAAATATTGTTGCAAAGTTCGTAGATTATCAACTTAGATGATCTCTATCGAATGATTGTGGGCTACTGAAGTAAAACGGGAATAATGTGACCAACAGCTAACATTGAAGTCACACCTTGCGGTTATCAACTAACGTAGATCACTCCCTCGTCATATCAAGGTACTAGGGATGCTTTGAAAACTGAACAAATATATATATATATATATATATATATATATATATATATATTAGAGTAGGTTCAGGCGAAAGTGTGACCACTACCACATGGGTCAGTCCATGGTGAACGATTAACTTGTGCGCGTTGGTTGTCCTTGACCTTGACAAGGATCAATGGTCGATTCGATATTCAGTCACTCAACTGCCAGATGATTTGGTAAGGATTCAGTGAAATTTCACTGGTCCTACAAGTTTTATTATTCTTAGTTCGGGTTATTTTATTTTTTAACACATCCTATCAGATGTTTGGTCTACGGTAAAATGACATGTTTATTCTGATTGTCAATCATGGTCAAGTAACTCTGCCTTTTCATATTCATACCTGCTAATGTGCAAGCTATATTCTGCAAAACGCATAATTTTCCACAAAGTTAATTACTTCTAAATGTAGACAAATTATTCTCAAGTAATGTCTTTCACTTACATTAAACTAATCTCTATTTAAGCTTATCAAAATGATTCACCAAACTTTGACTGTTCAATCAACATCATTATCGCATTACTAAACAACTTGGTACTTGAATAGATTTTCGTGCTAATTATCAGTACAGTCTATATTACAGAAAGATTATTCTGAATAATAATGCCAATATATTATTTACACAGCTTTTTAAAATGTATCTTTCATTGACTTGGCGAATACCAGAGATCTCAAGAACTATAATTTTACCAAAGCAAAAATTGGTTATATAATTTACGAATCGATAGACATAATATTGGTAAATGTTCTTTACATCCATCCAGTTGCCTTAGAGAGTTAACACACTGTTAGTTATCACATAAGTTAAAAGTAATGTTATTTGAAATGTCCGTGTACTTGTATTATTATTACTTGAACAGAGTATCGTCACGAATTCAGAAAGCACTGTTGGCTCCTGTCAACTTAAATCACTTTTAGCCTGTGCGAGATATAAATTCGCTAAATAAATCATGAGTTTACCACACAGTGGTTTGCAACACTCTACTTTGTGCCTGTGAGATATAGTCTTTAAAAGTTAGGCATTCACGTAGGTTATCAACATTTCATTATGGTTGTTTTTGAAGCCTTGCTAGTATATTTTGCGGCCCAGGGTTAGCACTTTTGACGTTATATGCAGAGTATCGGATAAATATGGTAAACTAATTATTGTGGTAGTGAATCTTTATCAACCGAGATGGTTAGAACAGGTATTATGTATGGTCATCCATTAACTACCTTGACACGCAATGATCACTGATGTAGAATTAGATTGGAGGAAAGCTTCTAGTGACCAAAACAAAACTAAAAATTATTCCATGAAGGCACTAACTGCTAAACTGAGACATATAAGCAGATGTAGACAAAATGGTTGTAGTTTGTGTGATTATCTTAATGCTATAACTGTTAGACGGCAGCAGATTAGAGGGTAGCAAATTTATCGATCGGACCAAAGACGCGAAAACACGTAGAACGGCCTAAGGTTCTGATTGGTCCCGATTCCGTATCTAGCCCAGCCAGTTGAGTTGAGAACACAAGTCTCAGCCTCGGAGATATGAATCATTATATTTCAAACATACTTTGTTTATATACCAGTCAAGCAGATCACAACATACCATAAAATATAAAATAACATTGTACAATATTGACCAGTGGGAAAATGACACATGAAATAAGTACTGACCAATAAGTAAAAAATACCATCTCCAAGTCCAAGAATAGCATTGGACTTAATAGAATAATTTCTGGGATATTTTCCTGAATATCCCAACACTTAATCAATTACTAAATACCTTGACATAATTCAAAATTGTCCTCAATACTGCAGACACATTCAATCTTTGTCTTCCAATAGATGATAACTTTCTAAATTCCTCATACATTCCATCTATTTCACTAATTTATATTTTTCTTGAATTATACCTTCAATACCTAATCTTTTCTAGTATCCTTAATACTATTACTTCCTCTACCATTCTGTGATTGGCCCCTGACATTTTTTAAACCTACCATACTAACTGAATATACCAACTGAGACTCATATACACGTGTATCAGATTTCATGCTACACTTGACTGACTGAACAACTATTGTAGTAAACAAGAACACGAGCAGGGACAATCGAATGTATTTGATTCGAAATTACAGAATATTTCAATATAATCTGAGAATCATACAGTAAATACTTGATTTGCAAAATATCAATCCATCATCTCAAACTTGACTGTTCCTTTTGTAAATATCAATCCATTGTCTCAGACTTCATTGTTCCTACATTTTCATACCAATTACATTCCGTTCCCATTCTTTCCTTATCGATCATCTATTCAAATACATCCTATGCCTGACCATCGTTATATACTACTTATATCAATATAAATAACCCACACCATTATTATAATAGTGATTGACATAATAGTTTTAAAATATTTCCTCTGATTGGTTTTTTTATTCGCTTATTGTTCACTGTCGTGGCAACAAAAACAAATCAACAAGCGAAAAAACAAATAATTCATAAAAGATTTTTATTTTTTATTTTTTCTTAACATTTATTAGCAAAGATATTATACAAACAAAAACTAGTATAACAGCATTAGCCTCTACATCAAAAGGTTTAATTGTAGCTACTTCATCTGGTATTGTTTATTGGTTTGAACATATTACTACAGATAAATTACATCAACAATCACAGCAACAATCTGATAAACACCATGTTAAACATGATAAACCTATCACCACCACCACCACCACCACAACCACCACAACAACAGGTACAACAAATCAATCAAATATATCATTCAAAGATGAATATCAATTCATAAGTAGTATCTATGTACCACAAGATTTAATAATCAATAAAGAATCTGATTTGAATATTCATCAAATGATTATACAATTACAAATTAATCCATCTGAAGATTTACTTATCATTGCAACAAATACACATCAATTATATCAATTTAATTTAAACAATATTGATACAAATATCAATAGTAGTAATAGTAATACGAATAAAGAATTACCTATATCAAATGAAACATTAAAATTTATACCAGTATCTCAATCATTTCATAATGGACAAATTATTGGTATGGATGTATGTATACGTAAACCATTAATAGCTACATGTTCAACTGATAGAACAGTAAGAATATGGAATTTTGAAACAAAGTATGTTATCTATGTTTTTTTCCCTTTTTCTTCTTCTTCTTCTTCTTCTTTTTCTTTCATTGATTGAAAGTAGGTTTGATGAGACTAGAATTTATAGATGATCATTGAGTAATTCTAAAATCATCTTGAATTGTTCATATACTTATTAGAAAAAAGCGAATACTATATATCATCAGAAAAGGTTTTTTTGGAGATTTTAGTAATTTCGTGGATTGATTGAAGTCAGACAATAACATCGTTGGATACCGGCTCAGAGGTCTAATGGTTAAGTGCTCGAGCTCGAGACTGATAGATCCTGGGTTCGAATCTCTCGGGGGGAGGGCGGGATCGTGGATGCGCACTGCTACTGAGGAGTCCTATACTAGGATGAAACGGCCATCCAGTGCTTCCAGGTTCCCCATGGTGATCTAGCTGCAATTGACTCATGATTTCTACTATATATTAGTTAAAGGAATTAGAATTAAGATTTACAATTAGATGTTAAGGTTAGAAACTAGATTCAAACTGATATCAGTTATAATGTTAAAATGGTATTTAACGGTATGGTAAAAACGCTAGATCCTTTCAAAACTGTCTGCTGTTCCGTTTCAATGACCCTAAACGGCCTGACAAGAGGTGGTCATTCTGTAATTGAAATGCGGTGGGTTTGTTGGGTTGCACAAATATCAGGTGTTCTGATATTTGAGTGTTCTTTTGCTGCAGCAAAATCACAAAATCATTGCCAAGAACATTGATTTAGTTCTCTCTGTTTTTTAGTGTACATGTTGGATCGATTGTTGGTTCGTAACTTTTCAATCTCCCTATTTCTGAGAAAATTTTGTCCTGTTTGGGTAAATTTTGGGTATAATTTTAGTTCAGGTCGTTCCATTCTGTTTATCAGTTCAGTCGAAAACGATGATAATTATAATGGATAGAACTGTTTATGACTATATATTAGCAAGCTATATAATATTCATATATAGTTTAACGATTAATTGCTTCCATCTACATTTTATAGACAACTACCAACATCCATGTTCATCAATACCATAATTAAGAAGGCGAATCCTATGTAAAAGGTTTTAGAGTTCATTTCTACACAAAACTCTGATTTCAGTCTATTTCTGGCTTGATGAATGGTGAACTTCGCTTGCCTGAGTTTGCATTATTACAAATAACCGCATCAGGCAAACTAAACATTCACCCAGTTTATGAGCAACAAACACGTCAAATTACTAATAGACTGGAATAAAAGCTATGTAACAAGCACAAACATTACGAAAATTGTCTTGTGACGGAAGGAATGCTGTTGATAGATGATACATAGAGACATCCAAAATCTTCGACAATATATAACATATACGCGAAAATCCACGGCTTAACGTCCTGATAGTCTCGTATTTAACTAAATGAGTGAATGGATTTCGCGCCAAAATAAAAGATCCTGCATTTTTAATCTGATTGGTTCATTTATAAAGTATAGTCTCGTCGTATGTTTATCAATTTATTTGCTTATCGAAATTGGTTTAAATGAGTTTGTGGATTTTGGTTAACCTAACCGGGACTAAACAGATATCAAGGTCACGATATCTCTAGATGATTGTTTTTTTTCCGACGACGTCTTAGCAACACTGCCTAATTATTACTTTATACAGGATTGAGCATAGACCCCTTAGGTTTCCTGACGAGTAAAGTGATTTTAGACAAGTGAGTCGGTGTACATTGGTTCCTAATACCAAATTCAGTCTACTGACAAAACATTTAATCCTACACTCTGGTATTTACATTTAATCTATTAATAAAAATCAGATCTACGCTAAACATGCATATTGAGATGACACCAATGAACTATTTCAACCATTTGTATCATATATTTTGAACAGTCTTTTATTGAATCTATTTTGTTTTTATTCTACAGTGATCTTGAATTAATAAAACAATTTGCTGAAGAAGTATTCAGTGTAGCACTTCATCCAACTGGTTTATTCATTTTAGTTGGATTTAGTGATAAATTACGCTTAATGAATATATTACTTGATGATTTAAGAATATTTCATGAATTTACAATACGTAGTTGTCGTGAAGTAAGTGAGATTGTTTGTTTACAGAAATCTTCCCCTTTTTATGATATATTGTCTCGGTGAAAATTTATTTGACACCAATATATATAAGCTACTTAAATCAAGAAATAAGTAGACGTAGGTGTTCTGAACAATTTAATACGATTACGCTATATATTTTGAACAATCTGGTCACATCTATACATAGAGAAGGGATTTTGTGGATATTATAGTAATTCGATAATTGACTTCATGAGTTGATTAAAACTAGACCACTATGGAAAACTTGAAAGCATTGGACGATCGTTTCGTCGGATACTGGCTCAGTGGTCTCGTGATAAATCTTGGGTTCGAATATCGAGATGCAAGATCGTGGATGAGCACTACTGAAGAGTCCCATACTAGGACAAAACGGTAGTCAAGTGCTTACAGGTTTTCTATGATAGTCTAGTTTCAATTGAATCATGAATTCAAATATTAAATTACATATATACTTGTCAAGGCATTTTTATATGAATACTTAATTTACGTCTGTTACCATTCGTAGAGGAGAATAGGTCATCCACTAGGATTCTCCAATGAACTCTCTCCTGGGCATTTCTTTCCAATTGTTTCCAGTTCCTATTCATCTTTTTGATGTCTGCTTCTAAATCCTGATGCAATGTGTTGATTAGTCTTCCTCCTACACTTTTCCCTTGAGTATCCTAAGTTGGTGCTTGCTTAGTGATTCAGTTTGATGATCTCCGCAATATATATTCTATCCGTCTTCTGATTTCCTCTTCATCTGGAAGCTGAGTTGTTCTCTCCTACATCATGTGAAAACTATTAAAAGTTAAATAAATAAAAGCGAGAAAATTAATATAAAATGGGAACAATAAGAGATTTTCATATCACTCTATGCCTGAAATTGTCATAACTCATAATTAGATTGTACAATTACTTCTCCCTATTTATGTATGTCTACACAGATGAATGAATCGATAGAATATGAGTTAATCATTTGTATTCTGCACGGAATCATGGGATTAGTTTTTTCTTGGACTCTCTTCTAAATGGTAAGCAGATATAAATCATTCCCTTGGCAACAATAGTGTGAAGGAATTTTAATGTTAACTGAATTTTCACAAGTGCTTTGATAAGTTTATATATGACAAGATTGTTTAAGCATATAGTGAAAATACATTAGATTCTTCAGATCATCTCTATCTTTTCAATAGTCTATCAAAATTCATAACAAGCATTTACTTAATAACTTACTTACGTACGCCTGTTACTTCTAATGGAGCATAGGCCACAGACCAGCGTTCTCCAACCCACTCTGTCCTCGGCCTTCTTTTCTAGTTCCATCCAATTCTTGTTCATTTTACTCATGTCTATCTCTATTTCCCGGTGTGGTGTGTTCTTTGGTCTTTCTCTTTTCCTTTGGCCTTGAGGATTCCATGTGAGAGCTTGTCTTGTGACGCAGTTGAGTGCTTTCCTCAATGTGTGTCCTATCCACTTCCAGTGCTTCTTCCTGATTTCTTCCTCCGCTGAGATCTGGTTTGTTCTCTCCAACAGTACGTTGTTGCTAATAGTGTCCGGCCAACGGATCTGAAGTGTTTTGCGTAGACACCTGTTAATAAAGACCTGTATCTTCTGGATGATGGCTTTCGTAGTTCTCCAGGTTTCGGCCCCATAAAGTAGAACTGTCTTGACATTTGTACTGAAAATCCTGACCTTGGTGTTGGTTGAAAGTTGTTTCGCATTCCAGATTTTCTTCAGTTGTAAATATACTGCTCTTGCTTTTCCGATACGCGCTTCCACATCTGCATCAGATCCACCGTGTTCATCAACAAGCATTGATTGCTTTTAAATACAAACAATTGTTTAGTGAATCGTTGTACACTTGTTAATGATTGATACTTATTTATATGGAAATAAATAGGGATTTGTATTGGAATGGCCAAGTTGTAGGTGAAGTGTTGAGGTTATACAATGAAAAGTTTTCGAAAATACTGTTCGACCATGTAAAATAACATTTATTCAAAGATATTGAAAACTTCTATTCATGAGGTGTCAAGATGTTAAATACTCCATCAAGATCATATTCAAAGCAACTAAACCATCTCACTGATTTTGTAGTCATTAGCTTATAACATGTGCTATAACTTAGGGAATGAAACACTTCTGTATCCGATAAGGATATCAGTAATTAACGAGAACAAATTAAGAGTTTTAAGCAAAGATGGATAGTGGCTAGCAGTGGAATCCAGGACGCGCGTTTAGTCCTATTTGGGACTCTTCAGCTGGATGTGCCTTCATCACAGAGTTTCCAATATGATACTGATCAACTGTAGTCCCAAATAACAAAGTGAAGATACAAGTAAAACGACAACAATTGAATTTAAATTAAAGTTTGTTTCAAAGTTTTATAGAAAGATGTCGAGTAAGCATGATTGATTGACAAATAAGGAGGAGACAATAAAAGTAGTTGTGAAGAAATAATAATATACGATGAGATGGGTGAAAATACTAAAACAGCAAAATATCAGTGCAAATAACGAAACTAATACGATCATCACAGCAATAACCATAGTTACACGTTTACTAGTAAAATGATTAAATATTATCAAACTACTGACTAAAGATAAGTAGTGTGGCTCATCAAACAAAAGAAAATGATCGAAGAGGATTTGTGGAGCTCGCAGTAATTTTAAGAGTTGAATCAATGAGACTATCTAAGCTAAACCATCATTGAAAACTTAGAAGTACTGGACAGCTGCATTGTTCCAGGATGAGACTCGTCAGCACTGCGCGTCCACAACCTTGCACACAGGACTCAAATCCAGAACCTTCGGTCTCTCGTGTGGATGCTTAAGATCTAGATCACTGATTCGCCATCCAACGGTGTTGATGTCTAACCTGAATCGATTCATGATGTTGCGCAACATTTCATCCATTGTCTGTTGGATTGGACTTCAATGGTTACAGCTTCTCAACATGTCATAATTTTCATTGGAGTCAACTTTTTTTAAAAAATATAATGCTACTTTAGCAAATGTTTTAATTATAATATGTATCTAACTATTGAGTCAATAATTTTTTTCAAAACAATCTATTAGTGTGCTTTCAGTAATGGTGGACATTTGATTGGTGCCGTCAATGGAAATGTTATACAAATTTATTCAACGACAACATTTGATAATCTAATCAATTTAAAAGGTCATAATGGTAAAATTCGTTCTATTATTTGGTCAGATGATGATTATAAATTAATTTCCTGTGGATTAGATGGTGCTGTTTATGAATGGGATACACAAAAAGGTTAGTCATTCATTTAAACAAATAGAATAATTAAGATGATATTGTTATCACTTGTAATTCTTGATTGAATGAGTTAAATACACTCACTTTAAATGAGGCAAGTAGTACGAAAGTTGGTTACATGAACAGAATGACTGATACCAATGATGGTTCGGAGATAGTTCAACACTCAAGGAACACAAAGATAGGTAATATAAGTAACTTCCACAGTATAAGTTATATCCTACAGGATAAAGTAATCCATTATTGTTGGTGTCAATTATATAACATTAACATGTTATATAGGTTACATTCTCAGTACAATTGGATACATTAGGTTAATATAATGGTGACTTGAACGAACCTAACAGATCTATTAAAGGATATAATCATAATTACTTTGTTGAGTACCCTATATTTGATTGTAATGAAAGTTTCTTTTTTGGCATAAAATATAACACTAGTACAATAGATTCCCACTTTATATTGATTTATTAATATACAGATACTCAAAGTAAATGATGAATTCATTTGAAGATCCTGACATAACTATTAAGTGACACACAAAAGTCCTGTAAGCATAATAATGAAATTGATCTAAAACACCATACTATTATTTATAAGAATACAAGTAATAGGCGGGAGGCCTATTCTCCTCCTCTAGGGGTAACAAGCGTAGGTAAGTAAGTAAGTGTTTAGAAATCACAATTTATGGGACGTCTAAAGCGTTTACCATGTCAATATACAATCAATCAACAAATTCCTTTCGTAATAATTATGCATGAATTACTTATAAAAATGTATGATTAACTATTGTTAGGAAAGATAATGGAGAAGATTTGTACGTTAGGTGAAGTTTCGTTATTTAAGACGAATGATTTAATTGTGTATAACATCGTCAGAACAAATTTCAGTTAGAAATGAACTAATAACTTATCCTGTTGATCATGATCCTGATTGACTGTTGTTGATCTTTAAGATATCATTGTTTGCAATATTTACTTTGATTATTTCTCCCTTTAACCTGATCCTTGTTATTTTGTGATCTGTTGAGAAATCGGATTTATTTCAATGTAGTTCTTGAAGTAAATATATAACTCAGTTATTTAGTTAGATTTATTTGTTAAAATAGTTGATCAGTTCATACTGTAAATTGCTTATTTACATCAAGTCGATGATTAATTTAATTCAATGACTGACCAGTTCAATGTGTTCGAATTTAACTGTTGACCAGAGTCATATGCATTCTTATTTGGTTCGTTGCGTTGAGTAGAAAGTAGTCCTTGTTTGGTTATAACAGGTAGCTACACTGGTGTAATTATAAATTTTCAACAATAACATTAACTACTAAATATTAGTAAGTAATTAGATGGTGGTTGGAGGTAGTCGACAGGAAACTCTGGACCCGGGTTTCGTGCTATTTGGCACTCGTCAGCAAGGTGTACCTGCAATCTTGAGGGAACTGGTGCTCCCTGATGGATTCGATCTCGTGTCACCCAGCTTCACAGGCTGGTGGCCACATTGCAACATGGTCGGTAGCATTCGATCTGCACTAATTAGGACTAGACACGCAATCAATTGTGATTAGTAAGTAATATAATTAACATACAGTAAATAATTAAATTTGGAGCGAAACTTTTTCAACAATATTTAACTGTCATTCATTCTCATCTATAAAGATTGTAAATCAGTTTCGTTTTGACTGTTATTCATCATATAATAAAATCGGACTATGAGTTCTTATGTGACCGTTTGATTTTTTTCTATCAAAGTGTTATAACTTGTGGTCTTGTACCCCTATTAATATATATAACGTAATGATAACGCCAATTTGACAACAGTGGCTTATTGACCGGACCAATGACGCATAAAATCAGTACGACCAGTCTACAGTGCTTATCGGTCCTTCTCTCTGCCTAGCCCTGCTTGATAGAGTCCAGAATATCAGTCTCAGCCTCAGTGATATGAAACATGTATTTCAAACATACTGACGTTGATATATCATCCAAACAGACCACATCGTACTATAAAATAGAAGATAACACTTGTTCAAGATCTAGCGAAAAGTGGCCGTGTATGTGGGAGACTGTAATTAATAGACCGAGTATAACTCAAGAACGGTAACTCGCATTATAATAGTCTATGAGTCAAAGTAATGCTTATAATAAGAGTAACATGAATATATATAGTTTAGTTACGTAACAGTTATACGATGAATGTATATGTATAATATTAGTCCATAAATAGATCCGAACAGTCATCATTCGTAATTCTCGTCGGGATATAACACAAGTAACAAACAAGCTAGAAAATATACTAAGCACCAGAATGGTTTTTACTTGAATTTTCAAGTAATTAACCTCATGATAAATTAAAAGCGAAGTAGAAAATGCATTTCGTATTCAAGTTACATAAATAGTCAATTGCTTTGCAATATTTATACAATAGAGAAGTAAACAATACAAAGATTAAAGTTGGATACAACTCGCCCTTCTTTGCCTCCAAATGCCCTGGTAAGGCTGAGAGTAGGAAGAGTCAGCTCTCCCTCTCGAAATGCTTTCAAGTGGCTACATGCATACAATCACTGTCACGGAAGTCCCACTCGCTGTCTCCTCGTTGCGGGGATATTGTTTATGGAATTGAATGGATAAAACGTGAGTGTCCGGCGCTCTAAACAGGTTGGTGGATATGAAGGTTCCACCTAGAGGAGTTGTAAAACTCTGATTTCAAATCAATGGTACACCACCTTGTGGATCATACCTTTAGGTGAGAGGCTCAAGGAGTGACTCCCTAAGGAAACCACTTGTTTTGATTTGGGCGTTCAAACGGTATTCCAGCCCTCATATAAACTGAATGATTTATGTTGCACAAATCTATTTGGTGCCTTCTTGTACCAATGTTTATGTTTAAACAAAATATAATGAAACAGTAAATAAATCAATAATCAGAGGTTAAGACAAATCAAGCTCATTAGATTGCTAATCATCATTGATTTGAGCCTATTGTAACACATTAAGATTAGGGTATTAATGTTAGATATTTTCTTCAGTTATATGTATTGGTACAAGCATTTTAATGTAACTAGATTATGTCATTTCTTTTTCAGTTAGGTAAATGGTGACCTAATAAAATAAGGATATTTGAATAGTTGAATTCATGAGTTGATCTGACCCTTCCTGGTTTTCAATGGTGGTTCAGCTTAGATCGATTTATGAATTCATTTATTAGAACTATTACAATCTTCACAAATCTCTATTCTGAAAATAAGGCTAAACTCACTAGTCCCACTGCCAATGTGTGTATTTTCCAGTTCAACTACTGTTAAGCAGTTAGTTATATTAGATGAACAAACAGGCAAATACATCATCAGACTTGTAAATATCACCCTCTTCTAGTCAATCAAAGGAGAAAAGAGGACAATAAGAGGCGCTTTTAGAACATATATTAGATACCGGTTGCCATATCGACACAAATTAAGCTTCCAAAGTTATTTACAAAATTCCTTATCACTTGCCTCAAATTTTTAGACTTTACCTTATACATCAAACAGAAACTATAGGTAAACACATTAATAAACAAAAATTTTGTTTAACGTCTTAATATATCATGGTGTTCTTGTCCTTATTCATTAAATTTCTCAATTTCATCTTACATTATCTATCAATCTTTATAATCTGATTACGGAATTTACTTTGCACCCTTTTTATTAAAACACATTATTGATTTTACAGATAACACCAAACATTCACAACTGATTGGTCACTGGGTAGTGATCAATATCATGTGTGTTAGGCAGATTGTTCTTAGTGCAAATCGAATCCTATCAACCAAGTTGCATTGTGGTCACTAATCTACATGACTCGACATTGCGTGTACTATGTTGAGATAAGATGGTGGTTGGAGGTAGTAGACAGGAAACTTGGTCGATAAGCTTCGATTTGCACCAAGAAGGACCTGCCTGACACACATGACATTGATCACCATTCAGTGATCAATCAATTATAAATACACTTAAGTCCTACAGGAGGTTAGTCGTGGCCCGAATAGCCCAATGATAACGTCACTCATTGTGAAGCTTGGTGACACGGGATCGAATCCGTTGGGGAGCGTCAGTTGCCTCAATATTACAGATACACCTTGCTGAAAAGTGCCAAATTTCATGAAACCTAAGTCTAGGGTTTCCTGTTGACTACTTCCAACCACCATTTTAAAACCAAACATTTATTATCTATTACTTAATTTCAAGCTTAGTTAATTCTTAGTTTTAAGCGATGAATACCTACAACAAACCGATTGCGTGATCTTAGCATTAGATCTTATTTTACAACTGATTACTGTTTTAGAGAAAACATTGTCAGATTGACAAAATACCATTTATTAAGCATTCACAGTGTGTGTTGTCTAATCTTAAGTTTTGATTGGATTGTATGTGCCAAGTTCCAATACGGTAGTTAGTCTAAGTAACTCATTATTGCATATATTGTGCTTTGATTTTATATACCTGGAGGGAATCTACGAAACACCAATACCCAGATTATTTAGGATACTGCTTGTTGGTGAGTTTTAACTAACACAAAGCCTTCGTCTAGGGTTTTCTGCGGATTGTTAAGTTAAAATATAAATGAATAAACTATCAAATACCATAAGCACTGGTTATCGATCTATTTATAATCTGAATCTTAACAGCAGTACGCATCCATGACAACTGTCTGTTTTGAATTTTGCCTACACCTACTAACTAAGAGTCTGCTGAAATTTACACTGCATACTCTAATGATCATTTGTTTAAGAAAATTTGCACTTTCTTAAATTACTTTTCAGAACACTAGAAAATCCACTCAAGTACCTTGTATAGTTTTGGACCTAAAGCTCAAGATCATAACGTATCATAAATAACAAGTCTCATTAGGTACACAACTAGAACATTCGTAGTACAAAAGTGAGTAACAGGTTTATAGATAATTAACGAAAGTTATAGTGAATATCAGGTCAATTGGATGCGTACAGTTAGGATAATATAAATGATACAGATGGTCGATCAGTACCGGAAAGGATTATAAATACACGGACCCAAGGAATAGCTTCATTTTGCAAGGAATCAGACTTGTACTACTAGAAAGCTTAATTTTCTAGGGGATATATAGACGAGTTCACAGCTATTTCTTGATTCGGTTAGCCAACAAACGGTTTTCTTCACTCAGTCTTTACTCTTGAGTACTCGGGTTTGTGTGCATAGGAACAGTGCATATCAGTATCATCACTCAGACGCCGCACATTAGATCAGCAAAAACTTTAATAAATCAGCTGTTTAACAAGTAGACTATATACAAATGGATTCCTCGAGAAAAATAATCTCCAAAGTTTTGCACTTTTCTCCTTCACCCACAGTCTAGTAATACCTTTACTTACACCGTGACATTTTCATATAAATTGACCAAGGTCATCACCTATCATGTCGACCTTCAACATCTATTGTATTTATTGATTATAACAAGCCAAGTTGAATAAAGATGAATAGTGGCTAGCAGTGGAACCCAGGACGCGTGTTACATCCTATTTGGGACTCGTCAGCTGGGTTTACTTGCATTTCAGAGTTCGTTTTCATGCAATAATATGAAGATACAAACAAACAACACCAAGTGAATTCAAGTTGAATAAACTTGATAATTCTATTATCAAATTATTTATTCTGATTTAAGATTTTCGAAAGTATTGATATTTATCTCTTAATTTATAGGTACACGAATTAATGAAAATGTATTAAAATCTTGTAGTTATACAAGTGTAGCTGTTTCTCAAGATGCTAAAACTGTTTATGCTGTTGGTTCAGATAAGACATTAAAAGAAATAAGTGATTCACAAGTAAGATTTTTATATGTGAATAAATAAACGTTTTAATTACAAATATGACAAACAGTCAGTCAATGATCTTGAGTGCTGTTAGAGATATGACGGCAGTTATCACTTCTCGGTCGCTCACACTGTGTAAGGATTATTCTGGAGGTACCTGAAAAGAAAATTGGGTTAGAGTTGGTCTTATCGACCTGAGAGCGTGACCGCAGTGTCACAGCGACAACTGTTTGAGGTGGGTCACACACAACCTTTTTGTGAATAACTTTGGTGTTAGTTCCGTAATTATTGGAACCTTACCGTCGGAGACGGAAATCCGTGGGATGAGGCGAGATGTGAATTTTTAGGATTGACCTTTCCTAACCCCATCCCTCTTTGTGGAAAGGCAGCATTGCTGTCATGCTCGTTGTCTGAAGGAAGTACTTTAATGCCGTTATACCTCGGTACGATTTCACCTTTGGACAAAATATCATTCTAAATCGAAGATGTAAGGCTGCCAACAATATCATTGATAGCTGATCTAAGCTGTGTTGATAGATGTAGATTATCCTGTTGAGATTTGCGCAACCATACTGACAAATGGTTAGAGATCATAAATAACACAGTTCAGATATAATCATAATAGGGTAAGTGCACTTAATATTTGTCTATCCTTGGATTCTGAGTTTCAAAAATAATTAATATCTTTTATTATATGAATTCTCTCATTCTTCTCGGTTCATATTCTTTATTTGTAGTGCCTTTTTACTATTCTTGAGAGTAGTACCGCGTCTACTACTATGATATTCATCTTGATAATTTTATCTCGTTGCGGTGTAATAACTTGAACTGATGTACATGTGTGCGACAGTTTCTGAGTTGTTTTTTACCGACTGATTGATTAGATATATAAAACTTTATTGATTGACTGATAAAATGATCTTACTAGCGATCCTTTTACGACTAGATCTTCGTAATCTGTATTCATTATTAATCATAAGGTAACTAAATTCTCACAAATTATATGAACAGGATACGGAGAACCCTATTTGTATCTGCTAATCATAATGTATCACAGTTATGATAATTATTTATTGGCATTGAAGGTAAACACTATACTAAAAATACTGCCTTCAAATAAGATTTCATTAAACACAAATATTTCTCATTCCATCCCATGATGAAAATATGGAATTTTCCGGGACTAATACATCTTTAAAATAGATTTCTTCATTAACTGACATTAGATAGTAAATCAATGAGGGCCAGAGAGAGTTGAACAGATGTTTTTCATTACCCTATGTTATCTGATTTTTGCTCATTCAAAACCTATCAAGTGTTCTAATCATGATTTTTAGATGTAATGCCGAACACGGGATGTTTAGACTACTGAATTGTAATTCAGTAGTTTAACTCTACATACGATTTGTTTGATCCCATGGGTTGGAGAAAAATCCTTTAATATTAGAACCAACTGATTGAATACGTTGGTCCTGGAATCTACTTTCAAATATTCAATAAATCATTCTCAGATTATTATACTTAGACCACTGATCATGTGTATATGTACATTACTAAAGGATTTCAAACCATGATTTATCCATTAAATATTCGGGTAGTAAATAACAGTAAAATCCATCACTCAATTTTCATCCTGTTTGATACTCCTCATTGAATGTATCTACATTTCAGTGTTGATGTTCATATTGAGACTGACCATTTGGTGTTCTTAACATCAGGGACAGGAAAATACCCCCTCCTTAGTAACTAACTAAATGATTATTGGTATAGGGGTTGTAGAGATTATTAAGTTTTAGATTGAGATTGTGAACCGATTGATGTTAGACCATCATTGAAAACCTGGAAGCACTGAACGGCCATTTCATCCTATTGTGGGACTCATCATCAGTGCGCATCCACGACTCGCCCGTGGGATTCGAACCTATGACCCTCAGTCTTGCGCGTGATCGCTTAACCTCTAGACCTCTGAGTCAGTAACTAACGGTGTTAATGTCTAACCTCAACCAATCCAAGAAATTGCGCGACCATCTTCCATTTTACTGAGGTAAATACCTGTATTTACGTGACATGCATTAGTTCGACTGGTCACAGATTTTCACTAGAACTCCGAGAATTCCCTCACAAAGCTAGTCACTAGTCAGCATATGGTAACTAAATAATGCTTCACTGCTGAAAAAAAATAACGTAAGATAACATTTCAATTCACTTGTTATGACTTGTCTGTTTTCTTTTACTTAATAAAGATTATTCGTGAAATACAATCAACTGATCAATTACTTACAACAGTAGCTGTTTCACATTCTGGTCGTATGTTATTTTGTGGTTGTCAAAATGGTTTAATTAGATCATTTCAAATGCCACTTACAGATCATTCGGATTGGCAAGATTATATTGGTCATTGTGATAATATAACAAAAATGAAAATGGCATCATTTGATGAATATTTAATAACTGTTTCTAATGATTGTTCAATAATAATATGGAGAATACAAGATCGTGAAGTACGTTCAAGTAAAACTGATAAAGAAAATTTATGGATGGAAGAAATATTAATTACTAAATCAGATTTAGAAGAGAAAGTAAGTCGAAATCTGTTACTTCTTTGATCCATCTACCCAATAGATTGTACTTAATATGTCGAGAGAGGAAGTGCTGTCTATGTCTAGTGATGATCTTAACATGTCAAGTTACTTATTACAATTTTGGAATTTGTATCAATTGAGTTCAGCTTGTGACTGAATAGCCGATATGTCATTCAGGCGAATATTCCCTGGTCAATAGTACCGTAAACAGATAAATGAAATTATTAATGATTTCTAAATCAAATGTTTCAGTGATAGGTTGGTATCTATTTGACTTATCTGAACTTTACCGTAATCTACTAATAAAGTTGTTGGCTTTTCACGATCCAAACTTTAGCGGTGAAATTTCACTTTCAAAACACAACGAGAGAGGATATTATAATAGTTGAATATGTAAGAAAGAAGATTCGAAGAACTATGGAGAACTGTAAAAGCATTTTTGTTTATATTTCATGTACTCTCTAACTATCAAGCAGTAATCTAATTTGGTTATGACAGTAACTTGAGTTATCATAACTCTTTTAAATGAAGACCTTCTGATTCCCAGGACAGAGTTTAAATGGTTTGAATTATTTTTTCTGCTTAGCGTGGTTTTAGCGAGTAGGTTTTCTACGGAATGGGGTAGCTAACAATATGCCCAACCATCCTGCTTTATCCGGGCTTGGAATTGGCAGTAGCGCCAGAGGGGCTCATGGCGGAGTTAAGCTTATATAGTTGCACAGATTACTATTGCAATAGATACTGATTCCTCACCTTTATATTTTATTGCGCTAGCTCCTCTCTCTTCACTGATGTGAAATGTGGCGCTTTGGACGGATAGACATACATTCGAAGTGTAATACTGACTTTAATTGAGTGACTGACTAGATCATTTTTGCTATAATAATAATTATTATTATTTGAGGAAATACAGCACGCAACTCCATGTTGAACATATCCAACCAATAGAGTATTGTCCTGAAATCTTTAAACGACTTTTTATGAATATAAAAAATATTACTGTTAACTAACATACTCTCTAAGATGTTATTTTGCAAACTAGTAATAGTTGAATTTATGAGTTGATCACAGCTAAAGCACCATTTGAAACCTAGAAGTAGTAATTAGGCGTTTCGTGGCCCCCAAGTGCCCTGGTACGGCCGAGAGTGGGGAGAGTCCGCCCACCCTTGCCAAATGTCCTCACATGGCAACGCGTATATAGCCTCTGCCAAGGAAGTCCTACTCACTGCCTTCTCGTAGCATTGATGTTGTTTAGGAATTGGAGGGACGAAAGGCGAATGTTCGGCGCTTTGACCGGGTTGGTGGACATAGAGAGTCCACCTAGAGGAGTTGGAAAACCCTGATTTCAAACCAGTGGTCACATGGGCTTCAGTATCCTAAACGAATAAATGGTGTATGAATCGATCGTTGGTCACCGGCTACCATGAAACTGCATCACCTTACGTTGCTCCACTGCCTTGTGGATCAGACCTTCAGGTCAAGGGCTCCGGGTGTGACCCTTTAAGAAAACCACCCGCTGCGGTTTGGGCACTCGGGCAGTATCACAGACCTCACACATACCTCATTCGATCCGTGAGGCGCATATGTATTTGGTGCCTCCTTGTACCATTATTTATGTCCTAGTACAGGACCTCTCTGCAGTACGCATTCACAATCTCGTGAACAGGACTCGAACTTCAAACATTCAGTCTCGCTCATGAACACTTAACCTCCAGACCACTGAGTCGATATTAAATGGTGTTAATATCTAATTTCAACTGATTCATGAGTCTTCGCAACGAAAGGTGGGTGGTTGAGCCCTCACTGAAAAATTCTTGATGATAATAATAATAATGATCAGAGGGGGTTTTGTGTGAGATTTTAGAAATTTCACTGATTGAAAGCATCATGAATTAATTAAAGCTAGACCACCACCATGGAAAACCTGAAAGCACCTGAACAACCGTTTCATCCTAGTATGGGACTCCTCAATGCGCATCCACGATTCCGCATCCCGTGAGATTCGAACTCAGGAGCTATAAGTCTCAAACCTGAGCGCTTAACCTCTACACCACTGAGTCAGCATCCAACGGTGTTAATGTCTAATTTCAACTAATCCGCGAAGTTGCGCGACATCTCGCATTGTATTGAAGTAGACACCTGTTTCTACTCGACATGGACATCAATCGGTTCATGATATCAATCAAAAATTTAACAATCTCCACAACCCCTATACTGATATTTCTTTTCTTTTAATCATTAAAATTTCTATTCTACTTTTTTATTTATAGAATTCAATGATTATTGAATTAAAAACTCGTATAGATGAATTAAAATTAGAAAATGATTATCAATTACGTTTAAAAGATATGAATTATAATGAACGTATTAAAGAATTAACAGAAAAATTTATACAAGAAATGGAAACATTAAAAACTAAAAATCAATTATTAAAATTAGATAAAGAAAATAATGATAATTATCATGAAAATCAATATCATGAATTATTAAATAAACATAATGAACAATTACAACATATTGAATCAATATCTAATCAAAAATTAATTAATGAATATCATAAATATAATGAATTATCACAATTAAAAGAATTAAATGAATTAAATTATGAAAAACAATTAAATAATCAACAATTAAATCATGAACAATTATTAACGAATACAATTAATAATTATGAATTAAAAATAAATGAAAAAAATATAAAAATTAATGAATTAATAAATCAATTAAATTTAAATTTAAATCAATATGAATTAATGAAACAATTAATTGATTATAATAATGATCAAGAAATTTTACAATTAAAATCTTATTATAAAAATTTATTATTAAATGAATTAAATTTAAATAAAAAATTAAAAAATGATATAAATTTAATTAAAAAAAATTTATTAAATTTACAAAATATTATACAAGAATCAAATTTAAATATTAAAAATTATAATATAGAAATTAAAAAATTAAATAATATAATTGATAATTTAAATAAAGATTTATATAATTTAAGAAAAGAATTACAAGAAAGGGATGATACAATACAAGATAAAGTAAGTCTCAGGTGCGTATGGGGGTGTCTGTGCGTGTGTATGTGATATGTGGGCGCGAATGATCATGATTGGTTGTTTGCTTAGTTAAACTTACATATTGATAAAGCAGTTAGTCCCTTTTATAAATTTTTATAGAACAATGAGAAGATGGAGATGATCTGTAAAAAATGTGATGTATTTGCAGTATGCATTTCGAAAAATCTGATCACACATATACTTGTCAGGGCATTTTTACATGAATATTAATGAAGGTCAATTAAATGAAAGTTCAAGTAAAAAAGTAACAAAGGGGGGAGAGAAAGAATGAGAAATTGTCACGTTATCCTAGGCCATAGAATGACTTAAGGATTACCAAGGTAAATTCAAGGTTACGACAAATTGTTTTCGTATACATAAGGAGGAGGTTAAATTTGCGAATAGCCAAGGCTTCAATAAACTTAAGAATTCGTCCTTGACAATTTCTATACGTTCTAAAAGATGTATTAATGTCAAATTTGTGCCCCGTTTTAATAATGTTTCTCTATCGATGAACCTAGTTTTCTACCTCCCACATTGATCAGATCATTTGACACACATTTATTATGAAGCCTTCTAGGCACATGTTCATTGACCCTTGATTGCAATGTTCGATTACTCCTCCATGTATGTGTTCACACAAACATGTAAATTGGTAAATACAATGGGATGTGACGTAATCATTAGTGCATTGTTTGGGTCTATTAGGAATTATGGGCTTAGACTTTTCAATCACAACCAACTGAGCAGCATAATAGGTATTCTTGATGGCTGCTTTCAATCTCTGTCTTGAAACTATGCTGTTGGATTCGCCTGTATGTGGTAAATTGATATAAACTTTTTTCTTTGGCACTAATTAAAAAAAAGATCTTGGCATTAACTGACTTTTGCATCTATTAATAAACTTTAGTGGATAGCCATTTGCTATTAATGTGTCAGTCAGTATCTTTTCATCTTTTTCCAACGTGTCAGAAGTACAAATCCTCCTAAAGAGACACTTAACCAGACCTCGCTTGTATTGTAGATAGTCTGACAGGTGTGTTAGATGAATTATATACTCCCCTATCCTTATGATTATTATTGTTGGTTTTTGGCTTGGAAATATACTTACGTCCTACTCAAGCTGATCATGTGTTCTTGATCTGAGTTGTGTTGAATTCCTGTACAATATAGACACTAGGATGGTATCTAGTGTAGATATTTGTCTAAGGTAAATTAACGTCCCATTCGTGTAAACACGGAAAAACAGCATAATAACACCAACATATTCTATTAATGGCAATAAATATTGTACTTGTTTAATTATGTTTATGACTAACAGAATTCAGTAGTCTGATTAATAGTTAATTAGCTTTTGAGGAGACAAGTTTCTGTCTTATATTCTGGTATAAACAATAACATTGAAGTATAGATAAATGTATTTAATAAGTTGTAAAAAAGAAAAAAAGCACAGTCTACATTGTAATACTTGACATAAACATTTACATTCACAGTTGTTTCAAACTTAATTGTTCCTTTTGCAAAATATCAATCAAACGTCTCATATTTCATTGTTCCTTCGTCTCCACATCAATCATTCTTTCTTCTTGTTCTCTCCTCTTTGATATTCGTAACCTTCTGCTACCAGATTTTTCATCAGCGTCAGTAGTACACATACCACACTAACTGTAAATTATTTTTAATAATATTTACAATTCACAAACTATTTATTCATTTTAAGTAAAGATGGATAGTGGCTAGTAATGGAATTCAGGACTTACGTTTCACCCTATTCGGGACTCGTCAAATGGATGTGCCTACATCACAGAGTTGATGTTCACTCAAGGACTAAAACCCAGTACCGTTCGCTTCAAACGTCATCACATTATCCACTTAGCTACGAACTCCTGAACGTGGTTGTATAGACCAGATATTCACACTACGTCAGGTTCTAGAACAGACACACATTCAGACGCCCCACAATTGTAGTATTTCCCGACCTTAAGGCAGCATTCGACTCTGTTGATTGTGAGGTTCTATGGGAGTGTTTGTCACTGAAAGGAGTACCAAAGCAGTACATTAACCTTGTAAAGGCTCTTTACTCGAACACAACTGGTCGAGTGAGAGCTTATGGCGAACTGTCATCAGATTGATTACCTCAAGTGTTGTTTGTCAGGGCTGTCCACTCTCTCCATTCTTGTCATTGATGTGCTTTAAGGAATAGTAATTTCCTCATCTAAATTTCTAGGAGTTGAACTTTTATCGGGACATTCACTTGTTGACTTAGAATATGTCGATGATATATTTCTGTTTGGTGAAGACCCTGACAAAATGCAGTCTTCTGACCACTCTAAGCAACAATGCAAGCACGTTTAGGATGTGATTCTCCCCTTCGAAATGCAGAATGTTGCTTCAGGATTGAGTTGCATCGACACCCGAACTAATTATAAGGAGTGAAGTAATTGAGCATGTCGATCACTTCACTTATCTTGGAAGTCTCATCAGCCCATGTGGTCTGGTGTGTGACGAAATCTCAGCACGGATACAGAAGGCTCGACTAGCTTTTACCAACTTGCGTCATTTAGGGCGTAGGCGAGATATCCGTCTATCAACCAAAGGACGGGTTTACTGCGCAGCAGTTTATTCCATCCTACTTTATGGCAGTGAAACATGGCCGGTAAGAGTAGAGGATATTCGTAGGTTACTAGTATTTGATCATAGGTGTCTTCGAAACATTTCTCGTATATCATGGGACCATCGAGTAAGCAAGGCAGTTGTTAGGAAACGGGTACTAGGTAAGGATGGCAAATAAATTGATGACGTAGTGAAACTTCATCAGTTGAGATGGCTCGAACACGTGTTACGTATGTCCAACCACCGACTACCTTGACGTACGATGTTCAGTGGTATAGGAGTAGGTTGGAAGAAAACTAGGGGCAGCCAGACGAAAACATGGCACAAATCCATGAAGTCACTATCAAGTGGACTAAGCCATGTTGGCAGGAGTAGACTACCTTGATTGGATCCGCAAGACTATAGCAACCGATTGTTAGAGACTTTGGATGATATGGCTCAAAATCGTTTGCAATGGTGTGAGCAGGTGCATCCACTCTTTGTGTTCTTCCCAATTCTAATCTCTTGAATCCTCCTTGTCTCTTTTTTTCTCTTTCCAAATTTATTTCATTGAATTATACTCTTTAAATAATATCTTCAAACCCTAATCTTTCGGATTACTGCTTATACTCTTACTACCTCTACGAATACGGGATTTGAATCGAGAACTGCATCTCTGTGCTAATTTGGTATGGCAACTCAAGCTGATGTACGTACGTACGAAGTTCTACGTTGTTACTGACTGACTGATGAACTCCTGATGGCCGACTGTTTGGGCATTAGGGGTGAAGTTTAAATTCAATCACTAGTGTTTTACTTGTATCTCCCCATTGTTATTTAGAACTGTAATTGATCAGTCTCTTATTGACATATGTAGATTGCTTTGATCTATAGCCTTAAGTCACAAGTATTATAAGCAGAGATGGATAGTAACTAACAATGGAATCCAGTTTAATGCACATTTCATTATTTTAATTCCTTAGTTTTCAAATGAATTTTTCTCTCTATTTTTTTGTTCTTAGGAAAAACGAATCTTGGATTTAAAGAAAAAGAATCAAGAATTAGAAAAATTCAAATATGTTTTAGATTATAAAATTAATGAATTAAAAAAACAAATTGAACCAAGAGAAAATGATATAAAAACTTATAAAGAACAAATACAAGATGTAAGTAAACAAAAAAACACAGTCTGTTTCTTTTATTTTGGTTTCCTAAGCTACTCTGATAAGTCGCCCCCCTCCTCCACTCTAAGTTAAATCTATACAACAACTTGAATATGAGAGTGCTTCCAGTGCTTCCAGGTTTTACATGGTAGTCTAGTTTCAATTGACTCATGATTTCAATCAAAAACTTGACAATCTTCACAACATCTAAATTGATAATTACCATGTTCTTACTAGTGACTAGCTTCTTGAGAAAACTCTCGGAGTTCTGGTGAGAAGCCGTGGCCAGTGGAGCTAATCCGTGCCGGGTAGAAACAGGTGTCTACCCCAGTACAATGGAAGATGGTCGCGTAATTTCGTGGATTGGTTGAGGTTAGACATTAACATCATTGGATGCCGGTTCGGTGATCTAGTTGGTTAAGCGCCTGGCACGAGACTGACAGGTCCTGGTTTCAGACCTCGCGGTGTGCGGGGTCGTGGATGCGCACTGTTGAGGAGTCCCATACTAGGACGAAACGGCCGTTCAGTGCTTTTAGGTTTTCCATGGTGGTCTAGCTTCAATTGACTCATGATTTAAATCAAAAACTTAACAATCTCCACAGCACTTAAACTGATGAGAGAAAGGGCTTGGAATATGGATAAAAACACTTTACTCTAAAGTTCTGATAACCCTATCCTCCTCCTCCTCCATCTTAGATTAAATCTACATAACAGATTGAACATGAAAGAAAAGTTATGTATTATAGAAAAGATATTTTACTTTAAGTTTAATTGATGTACAGAAAATTGAAGATATTTATAGCATTTTAGTTTACCTTTGAGTTTTTAGAAAGTTTTGAAATCCTATTGTAATGTTTGCATAAAAAATCATCTGATCAAGGATGTGACATGTGACTTTCTAGATGTTTCTGAGAATCTTCTATCTAATACTGATTGGATAAAATGTTTTCCAGCACTTTTCAGAGTCCGTTTGGGAACTTTTTGAGGTCTTCCCAACAATATGATCATATACTTATGATTGACAACTAACTAACTAAATAAATTAGAATGTATCAAATCAATCAATGACCCAAGTTCACTCGATCATAAAACAAACTAATTGACATATTCTGATATAGCACACATTTCTTTGTATCAGTCTGATGATCTGATCAAGGCCATTAGAACCACAATAGGACGAAATGGCCGTTTAGTGTACCCAGATTTTCAATGGTTGTCTAACATCAATAGCTTCATGATCTTACTCAAAAACTTAATATTCTCCACAACCCACTACTAAGAACGACAATAATCTGAATGATGAAAATATTATTTAGCCAATAATAACCAAGTCAACTTATCACTGAATTAGGTAACTCTGAGTTATTCAAGGTTAGTACATGCTCAAAGCCTGTTTCTAATATTACCAAGGTATGGTCAAAAAATTGTCATTAAAAATGTCTTGATTTTTCTAATTATTTTCATGATGGATAAAGAATCTAAAAGGAAGATGATCACTGCCTTAATGACTGTTTACAACGGTATGAAATGTGATTTCATCTCATTTAAATCAATTTGGTATCAATTGCCATACTTTATACTTAGATAGACCCGGATATTCAAGCCGAATATACTAAAACGTACAATAATATAGAGAACAATATTTGCACAAGATTTAGCCAAAAGTGGCTGTGAATGTGGGAGACTGTGATTAATAGACTGGGCACAACACAAGAACGGTAAATCGCATAATAATAGTCCGTAGGTCAAAATATAGCTTATAATAGCCGGAACATGAATAGGCATAGTTTAGTTATATAACAATTATACGATGAAAGTATATGTATAGTATTAGTCCATAAATAGTTTTAAGAAGTTGCCATTCCTAATTCCTTTTGGAATATAACAGTATTGTCTGAGCTCGGTGATCTTTCTGCTGTTCTGGACTACATTATCACAGAGGATTCTTCATATATACCAGTGATCAGTTTAATTTATTTAACATACATTGAATCATTCTATCCTAATGAAACTATTTGTGAATTCTGTCTTCGGAGGTTTCGACAACTTCATCAATCTTTTTAATTTTGTTGACTATCTTTTTTATTCCAACCGTAGTATATTTTTGCAAATAAGGGAATATTTCGATTTTCTTTTTTAACTACTAACTTTTTTAATCAGTAGTATTATATAATTAATGAATTAAATGATTATTTCGTTTGATAGATGGAAGCTGAATTACAACGATTTCATAAACAAAATGATCAACTTGAAATAAATATTACTGAATTAAAACAAAAATATAAATCAGTTGAAAATGAATTAAAACTTGAACGTCAATCAACTAGAGATGTTGAATCAATAGTTCGTCGATTAAAAACAGATTTATTCAATGTTGTTGGATTAATTCAAGAACCAAAACAATTGAAAGCTGGTATATTAGCATTATATAAAAAACATATTCATGAAGATATGGTTAGTTATTCATTTGATATTGTTTTGTTTATATCTTCCCATTGAGATTTAAGACTGCGATTGATCAGTCTGTTATTGGCATATGGTGGCTTATGGTTAGTCAGTTAATTAATTAGTTATGTGTTTTAATATTTAGAATGTGTTTCTAGACAAAGATTGATGGTAGCTAGCAATAGAATCGAGGATGCTCCTTTAATCTTATTTGGGGCTCGTCAGCTGGATGCATCTGCACCCGAGTTGACGTTCACTCCAGGGATCGAACCCAGTACCGTTCGCACAGTATGCACATATGTTAATAAGAGACGGATCAATAGCAGTCCTAAACACCAATGGGGAGATTTAAGTAAACAGTACCAAGTGAATTTAAATTTCACCTCATTACACAAGCAGGTAGCTATCAGGACTCAGTAGCTAAGTGGATAATGCAATGGCGTTTGAAGCGAACGATGCTGGATTGGAGACCCCTAGTGAAAATCAACTCTGTGATACAGGCATATCCATCTGACGAGTCCCGAATAGGACGGAACGCGGATCCTTGATTCCACTGCTAGCCACCATCTATCTTTGCTTATACTGCTTGTGTCTTAAAGTAATATCAAGCTAATACACACAGTATGAATATATGCCTGTGAGACTGGTCAATGGCAGTCCTAAGCATCAATGGGAAGATTCAAATAATTAATACAAAATGAGTTCATATGTTTCGTTCACAGGCTCAAAAATGATAAAATGAATGTGTTGTTCATCTCTTTGAATTCAAGTTAATATGTCTGATAAACTTGGAGTGTGATTGTGGCATTAACAAAGGAATACTATTTAAGTGGTTCAATAAATATAAGGAATAGTATGAAATAAAATCTCCATTACAATATTTTAGATGCATCAATCTGCTTAACCGCTTCAAGATACTTCTTATGTACAGTAAAACATTTGTTTATTACTCTTTCCTATTATCGGCAAGACTATAATTTGTGGCGGAACCAGTCAGATTTAGAATAACAGGTCTCAGATTTTGGTGTGAAATTCATTCACCCATTTGACTAAATAGAGTTTCAGCATTATAGCTGATGTCAGTTCGTGATGAAAACCCCTAAATCTAATTCTTAATCCTAACTATCAACTGTAAATCATAATTCGAATTTCTCACATTAATTTATAACCCTCATTTGGTCCTAGATATCAGGTAGATACTCACGAGGTCAGTCTAGCGTTGCTCCAAGATCATCTATTAATTATCCTCACCGAATAGTGTGAACTAGTTATTTCCTTAATTCGGTTTATCATTAATAATCATCAAGACGATGAATCGTATTTAATATTACTCAATTGACTGTACCAGATCAGCATTTTTTAGTCAATACAAGAGGCTAATGGTTGTCCTTTGATTATACTATACTATCATTTCTAATGGATGCTACTGAAATGTTTGTTACTCTTAAAAAAAGAGCTAGTCTCTTCAATTTCTTATCACTGTAAACGACCCTGATCCCTTCAGTCTAGACAAAAAGTAAAACACTTAAATAAAGAAGTGATATGTACTTCAGATTAGTTGTGTCAATTGTTATTCCATTAGTTCCTTGATTTTTCAACAACTTAATTATTTGATCAACTGATCTATCTGATACATTCTCTGACTAAACCATTATACACTTACTCACTACTTACTTACGCCTGTTATTCCTCGTGAAGGAGCATAGGCCGCTCACCAGCATTCTCCATTCAACCCAGTTCTGGGCAATCCTCTCCAGCTCTTTGCAGTTGTTATTGATCCTTTTCATATCTGCTTTTATTTCCCGACGTAATGTGTTCTTTGGCCTTCCTCTTTTCCGTCTTTTTTCAGGATTCCAAGTTAACGCTTGCCTCGTGATTCAGTTTGATGATTTACTAAATGTATGTCCTGTCCACTTCCTACTTCTTCTGCTAATTTCCTCTCCAACTGGAAGGTGGTTCGTCCTCTCGCACACTAGGCTGTTGCTGGTAGTATCTGATCAGCGGGCATTGAGTATCTTGCGTAGACAGCTATTTATAGGTACTTGTGCTTTCTTGATGGTGGTTGTTGTAGTTCTCCAAGTTTCAGCTCCATACAGTAGAACTGCCTTGACATTCGTATTGAAGATTCTCACTTTGATATTGGTTGAAAGTTGTTTTGAGTTCCATATGTTCTTCGATTGTAGGAATGAGGCCTTTGCTTTACCATCCCTCACCTTTACGTCTGCATCTGAGCCTCCTTGTTCATCGATGGTGCTTCTCAGGTATGTGAAGGATTTTACATCTTCCAGAGTTTCGCCATCAAGAGTGATTGGATTGCTGTTCTACGTGTTGTATTTGAGGACCATAGTTTTCCTCTTGTGTATGTTGAGGCCTACTAATGCAGAGGCTGCTGCTACACTGGATGTATTTATGTGCATTTGTTCATGGGTATGCGATAGGAGGGTCAGGTCATCTGCGAAGTCCAAATCGTCTAATTGATTTTGAGCTGTCCATTGTATTCCGTGCTTCCCCTCAGATGTCGAGGTCTTCATAATCCAGTCGACCACCAGAAGAAAGAGGAAGGGATCGAGTATACAGTCTTGTCTGACTCCTGTCCTTACTTGGAATGCGTCTGTCAGCTGTCCTCCATGCACAACCTTGCACTGTAGTCCATCGTATGAGTTCCGGATAATGTTGATATAAACTATTCATTTCAACAATCTAGGCAAACAGGCTATAGGAAGAGAATTCGTTTTTAATAAAAACAGATGATTTGATTAATTACCAATGCTAACATGTAATAGGGATTGGAACCTCGGATCTTATGGAATACCACTTGAAAAACCTTTAGTGTGAATAAAAAGATCCACAGCGAACTAACGATTGTTGAATTTAATATCCTATTGAATATACATTAGTTTTTACAAGTCTATAGAAGAAATTCATCAAGTTCTACAAAAAGAAAATAGTTAAATCAGAAGTTAACATTCTTGGTGGTTAGTCGCAGCCAGAATGGTTCAGAGATAATTCTTCACATTGCACAGTCGGCGGACATGAATTTTAATCTTTCAGGGATCATACATTTTCACCAGGATATAGATGTGCCTTGGTGGTGGCCCCTAACTTTCATAAAACTCTAAGTCTAATAGGGTTCCTGTTTAGTAATTACTTCCGAATTGATAGCATCAAATATAGTAAACTACAATAATAAATCACTCAGACTAGTGTTTTAACATTGTAACATGACTGATCAAATGTGAACAACATTGGAAACTGGGCATACGTTAATCTTGAGGTTAAGAGTTTGGTTACGAGAACGAAGATCTTGGGTTCCGTTTCCTATTAATGAGAAGAATAAATATGTTAAATAATTTGATCCGTTACAACTGATGTTGTTTCCAAACATAATGATTACGGTAATTGATTAAGCATTATAATGTCTTTTATATCACGTTAAAAGGACAAAAACAATTATCATTTATATTCACCCCATTGCAAAAGCAAATGGCTATCGGTACTCAGTATCTGGGTGGATAACGTGTTGGCGATTGAAGAGAGTGGTACTGGGTTCGAGTCCCAGAGTGAACATCAACTCTGAGATGCGGATACATCCAGCGCGTCCTGGATTTCACTGCTAGCCACTATCCATCATTGCTTACAAATTATCATTTATTCTCGTTTTTAATCCTATTCATTGATAAAATAAATAACCATAGAACACTCTCTTTTAAATCTAGAATACTCAACTACCAATAGTAAGTGATTAAGATAAGATGTTTGCATGTGTATACTTTCTTTTTAAGAGATAAGTGTTGTCTTGCTGTTGTTGTTTTTGTTACAACTGTGAAAATATTTTCCCGTTAAAATATTTATGAAACTTAGATAAGTTAAGAAACTATTAAATATCAAAACAGGACTGGATGAGTGTTTCATTATAGTTTGTAACTTTTTTAGTGATGTATATATACTTATGCCCGTTTACTCTACCTAGCACACGTGCACCACTAGTTTGGAATGAGTGTTTTCCGACTCCCCTAGGTGGATGCTTCGTGTCCATCAACCCAGTTAAAGCGCTGTCCATTCGCTTTTCATCCCCTCAATTTCATAAACAACATTGCCTTCACGAGAAGGCAATAAAGTAGGACTTCTCTGGCAGTGAATATATACTTGTGGCCATGTGTGAGCATTTGGAGCGTAAAGGCAAACTCTCCCCACCCTTGGCTCTACAAGGTTATTTGGGTTCTATCTTGTATCAGGTGGTAAATGTGCATTACTGAGATATTGTAAATGTTTTTTTAGTAACCAACCTTTAAATACTTCTGATGTCTTTTATTTCTTTTGTTACCATCCATCTGTAATTTACATTATTTTTACAGTGAAATTTACGAGCCGATCTAATCTAGAACACCACTGAGAACCTGGAAGGAACTGGACGTGTGTTTCGTCCCCTATTGTGGGACTCTTTGTCAGTCCCAAACTAGGACGAAACGAACTTCCAGTGCATCCATATTTTCAATGGTGATCTAGCTAAATTCCTTTCATGAATTCAACTATTAAAATCCCTACAATCTCCATAATGACAATGTGAGGCTTACCACACTTTCTGTCTACAGAGATTAAGTTGAAAGTGCTTCATGGCAATGGATTGTACATGAACGAGTAAAAGTAGTATTTACTACTTGTTAATTATTTTAAATACTTTTAATGCTGTCCATTTTGTCTTCGCTATCCATCAAATATCTAGTTACAGCGTTTTTGAATGATTCCCTTCTTTCTATACACAACTTTGTAGAAATATTTTTAAAACAATTCTTGTAGATACCCTTCTTTCAGTCCTTCCTATGTACTTGCTTCCATAGTTACACGTAAATGCACTTGAAGGTGATCTAAGAAGGATATTGATCCACCTTTGATTGGTTTTAAGAACATCAGATGTTCTACACTGAAAATAGTTAACTTACAGGGATTCTTTTTTTCATTTAAGATTTTGTTGTCTCCATTATTTTCCCAATGATTCAGTTTCAGTTTTTATTTGGTGTTACATTTTTTGTGTATAATAGAAATATGCATATTTTAACAATAATTTTACGGTCGTTCATACGATCGCCATACATTACCTGACATTTCAATTAACTAAATTCGTTATTTGTAGGCTACCTTCGTCGTAGATTGATCTCAGTTGAGCTATCATTGGGAATCACTAAGCACTGGCTAATTGTTTCATCATATTATGGAACAGTTCAGAAGTTCACAATTATGACCCCATCAATGTTTGAACCCAGGACCTGTAGTTATCACTATGGACGCCTAACCATTAGAATCATTGGAGTGGATTGTCGGTGGACAGTTTCAACTTTTATCGATTTAAGATATGGCATGACGATCATCCAAAGCTAATGATGAAAGATATCTCTCTTCTGAGGTGTTTGAACTCTACAAGTCACTACTGAGGTGTCCCATACTAGGACGAAATTGTTATCCAGTGTTGAGCAGTCTCCCATTGCATCTCATCTGACATAGATCTGTGATAACTACGATCTTCAATTAAACTTTTTCTGTTTGGTTAAATAGTTTGTAACGATTAATTAAATTTGGAAAAGAATTTTGTCGCGGAAAACTGTGAAATCCATGAAACCATTTCAAATATAACTAATTTTCACAGGCTATAGAGCTAGACAATTGTCATGTTCTTATTAGTGATTAACTTTAAGGTAGATTACTGACATTCAAGTAAGGGGTTGTGAATTTTAGAATCCGAAGAAGCGATAGGTGATACAGTTATCTCCTACTGTGTTAGAAATGTTTATGGTCGCACAATTTCAGTTTGCGGTCATGAAGAAACTGAATTGGGAGTATAAAATTATTGTACTAGGAGACAGATCATATAGAGTCTTTGGTTCGATCTCTGGAGAGATTGTGGATCCATACTATTGTGTACTTCTGAACTAATATGGAACTGCTAGGCAATTATTAGTCTCTTCCATTGTTCTACTTCTTTTGTCAGTTTTTGGTAAAATTTACTAAAGCGCCAACCAGTTTGGAAAATCGTTTGTTCTAGAGTCACTGGTAATACCATACAGAGGTGAGTCATGCAGAGTAGAAAGCACTGATCTATCAGATTTATTATAAGAGCATTATCAGTGTACCGGAAACATATTCTTCATGTTGAACTTTAAAATCACTCGAACGACTAGATCACGTCCTGTTACTTCTGGATACAAAGGTGTAGAGAAGAATGATTGAGTTATTTAGTTGAGGTTAATGGAACTATCAGTTTTCATTACGACCTGATAACAACAAGGGTGGATATCTTGGAGTAATTAAAAAAGCTAGAGTAATGATCACCTATATTCTTTTACGGTATGAAACTCAGAAATTATAGATCTCACAGTATGCACTAATTTTTTAGAACACTGAATCGATATCAAACGGCTCAAATTTTCAACTTCATTCATCATTTATCTACTTTTTCAACCTCAATATGGTTGAACTTTGTTACTCAGTTAGAATCATAATGTCAGGTAAACGTCGGTGACAAACAGCCAGCTCCCTAAACTTTCTCGTCCATCGATGCTGTCTAAGGTAGTTAGTTTGAGTGAGATGATTTGACTGTAGTTCTAGACGGTGCGGTTTAGTGTCCGATAGTATAATCTCATTAAAATGCATCTACTTTAGCTACAAGTCTTCTACATAATTTCACAATGCTCCTATATAGTATTTGATATAATATGATGTACTTAATTAAACTGAGGTTATTTCTAATCAGCCACGTTTATTCATAATTTAAGTTAGGATGTAGATGATTCGTAATGCTAAAGAGCAACTAGATGATCATGACGTCACATCTTGAAAACCACTCAAACTACTGAATAATAATAAGTAGTGTGAAGATTTCACAAAAAATTCGAACAACGAAGAAATATTAGTGACAGATGATATGGTAACTTAACTATCTTCCCTTCATTAATAAATTTGTTCCTTTCTCTTCCTTCTATCTTTTTCACTCACCTAAGTGATTTTACTTCGTTCTCTGACAAAACGTTCTAAGAAATATACTTGACAAATGACTTATCAAATTAGATATATTACATAATTAGATATTATTTCACCATTTTTAATAGGCTGTAGATGCTACAGCTGATGCTGATATTCAAAAAGAATTCTTCAGACAACGAGAACATCTTGAAAGATCAGTTGCTGGATTAAGAAAGAAGTTGGCACGAGACAGTGAAATGCATCGATCGGATTATGTTCGTATTATGCAAGTAAGCAATCATGTATTTATTTGTTTTCATAAATGCATTCATTTTTATATTTTGAATTATAGGTGAAGTAGATAGAGAATAACTGGGTTGTTTTATTTTGTTGTAAAACATACAAACAATACTCTAATCAACATTTAATATAGGAAAACTGAACATCTTTGACTCGGTCTTATTTGAAGTTATGAGTGTAGTAGATCAGAATAGAACATTAATCTGTTGATTTTTGTTTTACAACAGCTAATAACATCAATTCATGCTGAATTAATAAGATTTACTTGATATAAATTGAATCAGTCGATGATGAAAAACGTTTCAAAACCCATATAATTATCATCCTCCTCCCCAGAAGACTGTATACATTCCTTGGTCATTGATTGTCAGCTAGACCGATGTTGCTTACTCTCACTCCTTGTCTTTCTTCTGGTGATCGACTGTATCATGAAGACGTCAATATTTGTGGGGAGCATGGGATACGGTGAATAGCTAAGATGCAGCCGGATGATCTAGAATTCGTAGATGATCTGGCTCTTCTATCCCAAACGCAACAACAAATGCAGCAGCAGTAGGTCATTACTTACACAAAGGGAAAGCGAGATTCTTCGATACAACACAGCATGCATCAATCGAATAACACTTGACGGAGAAGCTTTGGAAGGTGTTAAAACCTTTACATATCTGAACAGCATCATTGATGAACGTGGTGGATCTGATGCAGGAGTGAAGGCGCGGATCGACAAAGCAAGAGCAGCATATTTACAATTGAAAAACATCTGGAACTCAAACCAACTGTCTGTCAACCAACACCAAGGTCAAAATTTTCAATAAAAATGTTAATTCTACTGTATGAGGTGGAAACTTGCAGAAAGACGAAAGCCATCATTCGGAAGATACAAGTTTTTATTAACAGTTGTCTACACAAACTACTTTGGATCCCTTGGTCAGATACTATCGGCAACAACCTACTGTTGGAGAGAACAAACCAGATTCGAGCGGAGGAAGAAATCAGGAAGAAGACCTGGAAGTGGATGGAACAAACATTGAGGAAAGCACCCAACTACGTCACAAGGCAAGCTTTCACATGAAATCCTCAATGTGAAAGGAGAAGCAGGAAATCAAAGTACACCTTACGCCGAGGAATGAAGACATACATGAGAAGAATTAACAGAAATTGGATAGAAGTAGCAAGGAAGGCCCAGGAGAGAGTGGGTTGAAGAATGCTGGTCGGCGGCCAATGCTCCACTGGGGGGAAACAGGCGTAAGTAAGTAAGTAAGTAAGTAAGTAAGTAAGTAAGTAAGTAAGTAAGTAAGTAAGTAAGTAAGTAAGTAAGTAAGTAAGTAAATAAGTAAGTAAGTAAGTAAGTAAGTAAGTAAGTAATTAAGTAAGTAAGTAAGTACGTAAGTAAGTAAGTAAGTACGTAAGTAAGTAAGTAAGTAAGTAAGTAAGTAAGTAAGTAAGTAAGTAAGTAAGTAAGTAAGTAAGTAATTAAGTAAGTAAGTAAGTAAGTAAGCAAGTAAGTAAGTAAGCAAGCAAGTAAGTAAGTAAGTAAGTAAGCAAGCAAGCAAGTAAGTAAGTAAGTAAGTAAGTAAGCAAGCAAGCAAGCAAGCAAGTAAGTAAGTAAAGTAAATGTATAACCATCTTTTTCCTATAAATACATATGTTTTAAAGTGAATTTTCTTTATTATTTTCTCTCTTCTTTTTTTTTCTTCTTCTACTACTACCTGTTATGATGTGATCTACGTAACTAAGGAAAATGTTACTTTAATTCAAGAAATTGATAATTTACGTACTGAACTCAAATTATCCCGTAATCATATTAATGATTTAGAAGCTTTACTTGGTTTTAATCGTAAAGATGGTAATAAAACTAAACAATTATTAATACAATTAAATAAATCTAATTCTAATTCTACTTTACTTGAATCGGATTATGAACAAGCAAAACGTATATTAAAAGCTCAACAATTATTCATTAATACATTACAAATAAAATTAGATCAATCTATTCAAAGTTATAATAATAATAATAATACAAATGATTTATTAAAAGAATTACAATCAGCAGCTTATTCTATACAAACAAAATCATCATCACCACCACCACCACCAATGACGACAACAGTAACCACAGAAACAATACAATCAAGACCTTATTCTAGTTCAATGATTCTACCACCGATTAATAATAATAATAATAAATCAATAACTGATATAACAGATCAGCAAACATTTTAATCTGGTTAATTTTGTTGTAAGTTTATTTAATTTAATAATTTATAATTTATAATAATAATAATAATTATTATTATTATTCAAAGGATTACTATTGTAGTGAATAAGAATACGAATGGGAATAATCGAATGTCACGATTGATTGATCACTGAGTGGTGATCAATGTCATGCGTGTCAAGTCTTCATTTAGTGCAGATTGAATGCTATAGATCATGTTGCAATGTGGCCACCAGTCTAGGTGATTCGACCTTGTGTGCACTATGTTGAGATTAGATGGTGGTTGACATTGATCACCACCCAGTAATCAATCAATTGTGATTACATCTCAGTCCTACAGGAGGTCAGTCGCAGCCCGGATAGTTCAGTGGTAACGTCTCTGACTATGAAGCTGGATGACACGGGATCCGATCCACCAGGGAGCACCTATTCCTTCAAGATTACAGGTGCACCTTGCTCACGAGTGCCACGTAGCACGAAACCTGGGTCCAAGGTTTCCTGTCGACTACCTCCAACCACTATCCAATCTCAATGATAATCTAATGTATTTAAAATGAAGTTACAGAACGTCCTAATAAAATCTGAGAAGCATATAGTAAATTATTAATCTGCAAAATATCAAACCACCATTATATACTACTTGTATGAATATAAGTAACCTACACCATATTATACATAGAAGGTATATCAGAAACGACAACGAGACTGTTGAAAACCTTCGGAATTCGGTATTGCATATAAATCAGTAAAATCAATATAATCAATGTACTGCAAACTAAAGGATGAAATGACAAAAGAAGACAAACTAAATATCCTCTACAAAATAAATTATGGCAATTGCGCGAAACACTATATTGGATAAAATGGATTCTCTTTTGATCTTTACCTGCATGAACATCAATCATCAGTCAAACGCCATAAGATGTCCTCACTTATTATCAGTACATATAGACAACTGTGGACACACATTTAATTGGAAAATTGTGGAGATTTTCGATAAAGGCATTTCCAAAAACACTAGAGAATTTTTAGAAACTTGGCAGTCAGATCAATCAACAATCAACAAACACATTGAAACCGATTCAGTTTATCAACTAATCAGAAACATTATGCACAAATATAAGAACAAAAATCAAACCAATCGACGATACAACCAAAACAAAGAAGTAAACAATGACATGTTTTAGGTCAACCAGAACCAATCAACATCGAGGTGTACAGAACAAGCTGTGAACTACATGTGGAGAAATTCGAACATTTCACTTCTACATGAAGTTTGTGCTGATGATGTCGTTCAGAAGAACGATGAAAGCTCTACGACTAAACCATCCAGCTCAGAGAACAAAACTCCATCAAAATTCGATGAACTAGGCAGTGATTCTATAATATGATATAAAATTTATGAAAACTAAATAATTATTCAATAACTGAATTCATCAGTCAATTAAAGCTAGATCACTATGGAAAACTTAGAGGCTCTGGACAACCATTTCGTCTTAATATGGGACTCATCAGCAGCGCGCATTCGCGATCTTGATCGCGTGATTGGTCAAAGTTAAACAATAAGGCTGTTGGATGTTATCAGTATTTAAATTCACTTGGTATTGTTTGGTTCTATCATCCTATTGATGTTTAGGACTGCAATTGATCAGTCTCTTATTGGAATATGTGCATACTATGAGGATTGTCTCGATATTGCTTCAATTCACAGGCATTATAAGCAAATATAGATGATGATGGTTAGCAGTGGAATCCAGAATGCGCGTTTCATCCTATTTGAGACTCGTCAGCTGGATGTACCTGCATCTCAGAGTTGATGTTCACCTCGGAACTCGAACCCAGTATCATTCGCTTTAAACGTCATCACATTATCCATTTAGCTTTTTCCTAGCGGGTTCAATTTCATGAGTGAATATCAACTAAAAGGTGTAAGTACATCCATCTGATGAATCTTAAATAGGGCGAAACTCACATCCTGGATTCCACTTTTAGTCCCCACCCATTTTTGCTTATAATATTGATACAGTTAGAAAATAGGAAAGTTTTGATTATACAATCATACCCAATAGCCTAAATTGTTTGTTTGTTTTTCGACATTTTTACATAGGTCCATGATGGAGATTTCCGAGAAACATAAAACAATGATATATGACCAAGAAAATGATTTTGTTTTAATTGTTGTGAATAATTTATTCATTTATTACACATAGACTTGTTAAAAACAGAACTAAATAAATAATATTTGGATGAAATTGAACAAGAATCTATTAATGTTACTATTATAATTATTATCAGTTTTTTTCTGGTTAGCGTTTTTAAGCGAGTTAGTTTTCGATGGGATCGGGTCGCTAACCCCATGCCCAACCCTCCTCCTTTATCCGGGCTTGGGACCGGCAGTAACCCCTAGAGGGACTCCAGGCTGATTTAGTATTATTAATAATGCAAATATCGAAATATATAAAAACCACAAAGAATAAATGATAACGGTGGCTTAACACTGATTGATTCGTAATCTCAATCAAAACTCAAGAATATTTACAATGCTCTACTGATAATTATCAGATACTCACTAGTGACTGGTTTCAAGAGGAAATTCTCGGAGTTCTAGTGAAATGTCGTGACCAGAGGTGTGTGACAGTTACCCACCGAAGACAAGACATGAACACTATTAGATGTCTGCTCAGTGGTTTAGATATTAAGTTTTTGAGTGTGGGACTGAAGGTTCTGGGTTCAATTCACACATGTGGGGTCAGGGATGAGCACTGTTGAGAAGTCTCATACTATGATGAAATGGCAATTCATTGCTCCCACGTTTTTAATAGTGGTCTAACAGTGATCGATTTATGATCTTAATCAATATTCAATAATCTCTGCAACCTTGTACTGATAATATTTCTTACTATTAAACCAATCAGAATCGAGAATTAAACATTCAAGCTTTTGCGTGAAATTCAAATGTTAGGTAATTGAAATACCTTGATATGTTGCTCAACATACTGAAAATGATTATCAAAAATTACTGTTACTCATTATAGGATAAAGGTTGATAGTGTTAAGCATAATAAATGCTCAAAATTTATTCATCCGAATGAAACTAAAAAGCATTTTTACATTATAAGTGATATCAACTCATGAAGAAAACCCTAAACCTTAATTCGAACCCGAAACCTAATTCTAAATACCTAATCTTAACTAGGAACTATTCAGGGACTCTTAAAAATCTATCAAAATCCTTGTAAGGATTCCAGAACACAAATAGTCTATATTCATAACAATGAATTTGTATGTTGTTGTTTTTCCGATTTACAATCAGAGTAATCTGTAGAAGATACTAATAGCTTAAATAATTGTGTAAAATCTGTTTATGATAAGTCTGTTGGGAATGTTAGATCCCCAGAACTCACTTGGGAAAGGACCTAATTTTATAATTTTATTTAGAAAATTTGAATTTCTTTGTTTTCGCGCCAAAGGCGCTCTTGTCGTATTTCTCACTGGGAAATATCTTAAATGCTATCGGTCCGTTGTGTCTTTTAGTATGCTATTTGGTAACTCTCCCCAAGGACGGTTTTGCACTGTATATATACATTTTGAATTGTGTTTGTTGTTATCACTCGTTTCTGGCTGTTTTGCAGAATATACTTCCCATTCCAAGCTTGGACTTCTCCCTCTAGTTAGCGGGGCTGGGACGCATCAATAACTAGTTTAGTGGTCTTTGGTCACCGAGTCTTGTTCTCGTTCGCTGATTAAGTGAACTCGTGATAGCTTCAAACCTAACAAGTTTTGCTAATTAAACGCTAGATTCTGTTCTTAATCTCTTCTATTAACCACCAGGCTACATCTACACAGCGACTTGAACATGAGAGAAAAAGCTCGGATTATGGAAGAAAACGCTTTACTGCACGGTTTGTTTATCTACAGATAGTCTAAAGTTTTTATAGTATTTTAGATGGCCTCGGTGTTCCGGAAAAATCTGGAACGCTACTAAACATAGTAGCAGCATAGGTAATCATCCAATCAGAGGATGGACATGTGACTTTTCACTTTCTAGATGTTTCTGGCAAAACTTCTACTGAATGTTGATTGGATAAGATGCTTCACAATGTTTTCAGAACCTTTTTTGGTTTTCTTTTTCGAGGAGTTTTCTGGATCTCTCAAACAGTTTACTTTGTTCTTTTTTTACGTAAACTATCCATTTATGTTTTCTGATTGGTTAAATACTAACCGATTATCCTTTGTGGTAGTTTGATGTTTATCCCATACTGTACTTTTACAAATAAGTTAAGTGGTCTAGTTGGTTAAGCACCTGGCGCGTGACTGATAGGTCCTGGGTTCGAATCCCACGAGAAGGAGTCGTGGATGAGCACTGCTGAGTCTAACAACAGGATGAAACGGCCGTCTAGTGCTTCCAGGCTTTCCATGGTGGTCTAGCTTCAATTGACTCATGATCTCAGCTGTTGAAAATAAGTTAATGTTTATCTCATACTGTACTTTTACATATAAGTTAAAGATACTATTGATGAATTACTTAAATCGATTAAAACAGACAAGTAAAACGATGTCCATTGCATCATTATAGTAAAAAAACTGACTTGTTGAAATGAGGATCAACAAGGATGCTTTTCTATTTTCGTTTTATTGATTCAAGATAAAATCAACCAAGACATTTCATTACGAATACATCGAATCATATGTTTTGAAATACTTCAAAAGATCAAGATCTTCATAAATATGATTCCTTGAATCGTTATCATTTAAAGTGATGAATTCATTCATCGAAACAATGTGTTATGACTTTAAGCCCGACTAATTATCATGTGATTTATTCACTAATCGAAATACGACTTATACAATTTTGATTCGACTGATACGCGCAATCTACAGTCCTTATTGCTCTTTTGTCCTCCTATCATTTACAGTTAAGTCTAGAATACCAATACCAGTTTCCACTATGTGAATCATTTATTTCAAACATACTGGGTGTGTAATACCAGCCAAACAGACCACATCACGCCATAAAATAGGAAATAACACTTATACAAGATGAAGCCAAAAAGTGACTGTGAACATGGGACATTGTAATCAATAAACTGGATATAACATAAGAACAGTAATATCATATCATAATAGTCTATTGGTCAAAATGAAGCTTTTAATAAGAGGAATATAAATATACACAATCTAGTTACTGACTAGTTATACAATACGACTATTAGTCCATAAATAATTCTCAAAAGTTACCCATAATTTGATTTTCACTAGGATATAACACCATTTTAGATAGAAATACAAAGATACATTTAACTACTCTCTCAAATGAATAAGTTATCAAATGTTTATCAAACTATGGAAAAAAGGGATTACAGATCATGTAAAATCGCCAAGTTCACCAGGGTGCTTGGTACCTGTGTGGTTGCGCCACAGGATTGAGCTGTACTATTCAGATTGTAGCGTTAAAGCCTGTACGGTATCCGGTTCCCCTGCTAAACGGAGTTGAGCTGTACTGTTTGGGTTTTCACGTGAAAGTCCGATTGGTGTCTGGTTCTCCTGAAAACTAATGTAAAATTACCCTGGCCCACAAGGGTATATTATATAAAAAATTGTGTGTAAAAAATCGCCAAATTTATTTAAATGAATCAAACAGTTTCAAATCAAATAATCAAATAAAATGATCTTGATCATTTTGTGGTCCAAAAAACCGAACGATCTTACGAAATCAATATTAAGAAATAATGAATGAGCAAAGAAAAAAAATCAACTTCAACTGTCAATCACCTACAATGTAGGACCAGGTACACAATATACATCGGTCTAAGTTGCCATACCTCATTAACACAACAAGATGGACACTGGATTCATAAAAGTAGCTAATTCAGAGGTGGTAATATATAAAAGAAAGATTGCAAGGATATAGTACAGGAAGAAAGAATTAGTTCGTGGAAAGAAAGACATGAAGCGATTTTAATCTCTTAGTATAAGAGAAGACAGAGAGTGTATATACCTACACCATTGTAATAGATTCTGAGCCATGTCACACAGTCTCCAACCACTGATTACGACAGTCACGCAGACCCCAATCAAGTAGTCTACATCCACCAACATGGCTCAGACTAGAAGTGAGTGACTTTATGGACTGATGCCACTTTTTGGTTTGGCCGCCCCTAACGATCTTCCAACCAACCCCCACACTAGTCAGCATTGGACATGTGGTAATCGGAGTTCATATATAAGTAACACGTGGCCTAACCACCTCAGTTGGTGAAGATTCACAACCTCATCAACTGACTTACCATCATTCCTTAATACTCTGTGTCTAACTTTAATATTACTTACCCGGTGATCACAGCAGATGCTGGTAATCATGAAGCATTTTCAACACAAAAATGATGTATTTTATTTTTGCTGGTAAATCTTTACACTTTTACACCGATTGGATTGGAAGTCAATGTTACTGAAATTGCACAAAGTTAAATGATTTCAACAAGAACCTACAAAAATCATAAGATAATATGTATAGTTGATAAATAAAGCTTATAAAGTGGAATAATCAATTATCCATATTATAAGTAACAGTTGTCTTCATTCAACGTTAACAATGGCTTATTCAATTGATTATAGAAATATTATTTTTGAATATTAAAAATTCAATAAATTAGCGGCTGTTTTAAATATTATTCGGATGTGGATTTGATTAAATCGAAAAAGATATAATGATTAGTATAGGGTTGAGGAAATTATTAAAATTCTGATGTGGATAATAAACTGATAAATGTTAGACCATCACTGAAATCATGGAAGCACTGAACGGACGTTTAGTCCTATTACGCGACTCCTAAGCAGTCGAGCAAATCAGTATCAAGTAGAAACATGTATCTACCTTATTAAAATGGAAGTTAGTCGCACAAATACGTCGATTGAATAAAGTTGGACATCAACAAAATTGTTGCCTACAGGTTAAGTGTTATGGCGAGGAAACGAAGAATATGTCAGCGGATTCAATCGACAAATCAGAAACGTGGATACGAAATACTGAGATGTAAAATGGGAAAAACAGCAGTTCAGTATTTAAAAATTTTCATATATGGTGTACCATTTATAAAAAAAAGAACACACTACAAAAGATAAAATAATGCAAGTCGGAGTAAGCAGTAGCACAGTCACGCGTCAAACGATGTGAATGTGATTGTGTGGATGTGTGTTTGACACTGGTCACAGTCGCAGTCGGAATTGGAGTCAGAGACAGTGAGTGCTTAAA